CTGCTGGCACCTCTGCTGGCACCTCTGCTGGCACCTCTGCTGGCACCTCTGCTGGCCTTCCAGCTGCCTCTGACAGTCGTTGGCGCTAACTCGAGTGCATGCTGGTGCGCACTTGCGTTATTGACTCTTGGGAAGCCGCGAACAGAACAAACTTGCGAGGGAAGTTGCATTGGCACGTCGTGCTTGCGGTAAGTGCACTCACCGTTCTCAGACGTCTTCATTGTCACGATTTCAGAAGACTCATGTTGACGATGGGAAGCTGACATTACTGCAGGTTGTGAGGCAAGAAGAACTGATATTGTCCCAGCTTGCAAGAATTTAGAAGCGTATTGACCTCCAATTTCAAAACGACTGCATCTTCCAAAATGACATTACTTTCATGGCTTGGCTGGTGCATCCTCCCTGGACGATCGTTAGCATACTGGAGACGAGCGATCTCGCAATGACTTACAAAGTTCGCACAAGATACCCAATACGTGGAAAGTGAATGCGCACACCACCATCGGTCTCAATCACAACCTCATTGACAGAAGTTCCAAGCAGCTTGCCATATTGTGGATGAGAGCCAGGAGTAGAGCTGCGCAAAATATGTCAGCTAAAGTAGCCCAGCTGCATGCGAAACCACCTACTCGAAACTCTCGACCGCGACTGTCGTTCCTGCAACAATGCCGTACGTATTATCATGCTCGACAGCATAAGACTCCTGAGCTGAATAGTCGCCCGTCATAATAATCTTATGTGCCTCCTCAGCAGACAAAGACTTGGCCTTGGCCTTAATATCCTCTGGCTTTGGAAGACTGTCCAGCAATTTGAAGATCTTAGGGTAAGAGCTTGCGTCCAATCCAGGCTCCTTGTTGAGACCCAGGTCAGTCAAGGCCCAACCGATCGGCCAGAAGACGTGGATATCAGCCAGACCAATCTGGCTTCCATTGATGAAAGGTCCAGCGCCGCTCAGGATCTGCGTCTCAATCTCAGCCAAGCGGGCCTTGAATTGAGCCAAACCACTCGGTCTCAAAGTCTTGATATCAGAACGTCCAAGGGAAGGGAAGATCGTCCCGCGATCTTTGACGAACTCTGGAGTCAAAATCTCAAGAGGAATCAACGAGAGGACTTCAGCAAAGAGGTTCACTCCGTACGTCTCGTAGGCCTTGTCTGCTGGGTTTTGCTGGACTTTGCCGAGCTTTGCGAGGATGAGATCGATGATCTTGGAAGAGTCGACATAGACATCCTTGCCGAGGGCGATGATTGGAATTCGACGATACGTGACACCCAACTTCTCGAGATCTGGACGTGGAAGCACGGCTGGTGTGTCGACAATTGCGAAGTCTACGCCAGCGGCATGCAGAAGAAGTCTAGTCTTCTGCCCATATGGGGAGAAATCGGCGAGGAAGTTAGCTCACACCTCACTGTGAATGGGGCTGACTGCTTACCATAGTCGTACTGGATTACTGTCGCCATTTTGTATATGATCTGCTCAAGGTGTCTAGTTGTCCTTCGTTCAAAACTTGGAAAACTCCTCCAAAGGAAGTACTCATGTTGCTTCTTATCCGGCTCATGGTGTTTGCCTTTCTACCGAGCTCTAGACCTCACTAGCTTCTATGATGTGATGCCGTTGCGGAGGCACGAGCAGTTGAGCCACTGAGAAGAAGGGACGACCGCAGATTATTTGGAAGCAAGCTCAGAATCGTCGCGTCCACAATGTGTTATCTTGCGGAGAAGATATGGCATTTTCTTGCCTCGTGCTGCTTGCGACGACAGCCTCGTTGGATGTGCTGTGCTCGTGTTTGGAAGAGAGGATGAGGGGGAGGGGCAGTTCAGCCCGCCTGAAACTCTGTTCTGATGACGATTCAGCAGTCGGCACTCGCAAAAGCCGTCGCGGTGTGTGAGGCATGCGTGCAAAATCACATGTTACACGACATGCTCGAATGTACACTATACAACTACTTGTGGTGAAGATGGATAAAGAATTCGCACTTTCAAACTGTGAAGCGAAGCGGCAAGAACGTATCGCGGTGCATAATGGCCGCACTTTAGCCGGCTCAGGTGACACGAGAGAAGTGAATGATTTGCACAAACAGCTATCGCAAAATTCAATTCTTTTCCTAGAGATTGTCGGTACTGTGCCACCCATCAATGGAGGCACGTACACCCAAAAGACATTAAGTATACATCTTCAATTCTTGCTGACACAAATTGTCACAAATCCCCACGCCCGACTATTCCCACCTCGACTTCATAGGCCGTCCTCGTCAACATGCTGTTGAGTACCAGAGATCCCTTGTCACCAGCATTTCCGAATCTAATAAGTTGGCTTTGGCTCGGAATCGTACTTTGGTGGCTGAGTTGGGTAGCCTTGCTTCTCCGAGCACTTGCTGGTGGTGTCGCACTTGGTTGAGGTAGATGTGCAGACGGATGTCGACCAGGTCTCCTTCTTCTCGGTGGTGGTGTAAGGGCATGGAGTGCTGGTGGTGACCTTGTCCTCCTTGTAGGTAGACTTGCTGTGGCAGAAGTCAGTCATCTTGTCGAGTACCAAGTAATGGAGGTCAAAACTTACACATCGGTCTTTGGCACCTTGGTGGTCTCTGGACATGTGCTGAGCGAAGATGTGGTGATGACTGAGGTGCGGTCAAACTTGACAGTCGACGTCTTGCAAATGACGGTAGTCGAGTGGTCTGGGACGGTGACGGTCTTCGTAATTGGAATGGTCTTGGTGATTTGGTATTCCTTTGGCACTGCGTGACATTAGCTTGGCGCCATTGACCGGTGTCGAATGGTCGCCACCTACCATAAGTAGTCTCAGTGTAGACCTTTGGCACCTTGGTGGTGTAGACGTGTGGCTTGTATTCAGTCTTGGTGATTGTCTTGGTTTCCTGGTATGGCACGGTCTTCGTAGTGGTGTGGTAGACGGCCTTGCAGGTGCTGCTGGTGACACACTCCTGCTTCTTTGGGCTGTAGCCGCCATCACCGCCACCTGGCAAGGCGACAGCGACGCCTGCCGCAACGAGAAGGGCTCCAATAATCTGCATGTTGGCTCGGAAAGGGATCTGGTGGACGGTAGGTGGAGGGTGAGTCGTGTGGCGGATCTGATTGCTAGCGAATGTAGACCGGACGTGAATGAAGGAAAGAGGCTACAGCTTGAACTGACAAGTCTCATATACCTGCACTCGTACTTACTGTTGAGCTCGCTGCTGGGCTGCCCGCTGGTACAGCGGGCCTTTCACGAAGGCGTTAATACGCATTCGTGAAGGCATACCAAATGTTAGGCTCAGAGCATGCCTGCATGTCATTTGGCCTGGTCTGGAGCCGGTATATCAGCATCAATCACTGGCTCCAATAGGCCGGACACGCTGGCAGGGCATCGCTTTGGGCAGCGGATGCATCATACAAACGCTTGCCGATGCTCTCAATGGCATGTCGTGAGTGGAGACGTGATCACAGCGGATGTTTCGGAGGTCAGAGCTTGTGTATCATGGCGATTTACAGCTGTCGTGAATGGTCGGCAGAGCGCTTTCACGCGTGGTGAGGCTCTGCGTGCATCTGTGCTTCTTCAACAGCGTGGTGCGGGCTATTGGGAGGCCATGTGGGGAAGAGCACCTCAGAATCTGCTTCTTGACCAGAACTCATGGGATCAATCGACATTTCATACGATGCGCAATTGAGGACATTCGCGGTGTCCACCTTGTGATGATTTGGGAGTTCAACGATGTTGTTGTGCAGTTGCGCAAGAGATGCAGAGGAGGGCGAAAAGCGACTGTGTCTGTAGAGTTCGGCGCGGGCTTCGGGGAAACTGTTTTCCCGAACCGTTGCTGCCACATGCTCCAACGCCACGCACGAAAGCACCACCGGTACACGTTTCTTCACCACCTCGATGGCCGATCTGGACCTCGCACAAAGCGCTCTAAAGACCAAAAATGGCCGGAAAGAGCTGCCGTATGCGATCAGCTCCATTGCTGGCCAACGGAGACTGGAAAGGACCATTATCTTTACGCGTCACAACTGGCAGAAGCCTCTCCAGCGACCGCTCTGCAGTCCAGCGTCTCTCAAGCGCTGGCAGGCAGGATTGCAGGGTGCGCCGACATACGATGGGCCACCCGCTAGAGCTCCTGGGGAGCATATTTGCGGAATCATTGCGGCTAGCCGTTTGTACGGGAGGAGAAATTTCGCCCGACTCTTGATCCACGCGATTAACTCACAGCTGGCACTTCATCCTGCTACACGTTGACGAGATGAACGCCTTGCTGGCAAGCAGATTTGCTTGACATATTCGACGATCTCACTCCTGTGGCGCTGCTTCGTTCTCGGGAAGAAGGCACGACTGCGACTTTGTTGGCAACTTGCACGAAGGTCGTCGAACAATGGTATGCACTGCCCTACAGTAACGGAAGACTCTGGCTTTTGCGTGCTCTCCTACCGGGATCCTCCAGCAGGCTTTGCCGAACTTGACATCGAGCTCGAGACACTGCTCATGTGAAGAGGCTTGGGCATCCTTCCGTGATGAGCATCAGAATGTTCGCGAAAGCTCGACACCGCGAGATCATCGGTATTGGTTGCTCCGTTAGCGTACACTTTCGAGGCACGCCTACCTTCTGGGAAGTAACAGAGCTCTGAAGACGTCCCGCGGAGATTTTTTTTTGAGCTCGCCATGATCTCGTAGAGCACACATACCCCGCTGCTTTGCTCACCTCTCAAAGGTTGTACGAACTGCAAACCCTGAATTCAAGCTGCATGTTGTGGTCCGAGATGCAGGACGTGCGTGGAGCTCAGGTCTATAGATGTTCCTAGCTTTCGAGCTGCATATTGCTCCAGCCTCAGCATAACTTACTGACACACCTTCCCGCAAGGGGTGATCACCTTTGAGACACTGCTTGCGTGGTCTGTACAAGTACCAGCGGAGCAAATACAGGTGGAAAGTCTATGCAGTGCATCGTGATGCAGCGGGCGAGCGAATTCAATTGACAGACTCTCGACTTGGAATATCGGGAGCACTGCTGTCTAGCCCTGCAGTGCGCATGTTGTTGTCGAATGAGCCGTATGCCGTGAGCATGGAATCCTGTGGACGACGCGCTGATACCGAGAGATCATCGGGGCCTTAAACTTCCTGGATATTATGCGATAATCCTATAAGATCATTGGTTGTATGTTCGAATGCTGCTTTGATGGTCCCGGCAGTCGGTCGTGGCGAGTCGAGCATGCAGCCTCGCTACGAGCTCAGAACTGAACATGGAGCCTGCGGAATTAGTGTGTGCTAATGAACGCGCTCAATGCTGATAAATGATCGTCACTGCATTGAGTCTGCAGCTCTGAAGTTTGGTCGAAACGAACACGGAGGCTCCGGATGCAGCACCCCACTCGCCTCAGGCTGGCGATGATGCCACTGTGTATTCCCAATGCAACGACCTGGTGACTTCTCAACACACGTTCACAGCGCTCAATTTGCAACGCTGGATACACAGCGCAACAAACAGTCTAATCTAAGTGGCAGAACGACCAGCGATTGTTGAGCATGACGCGTACAACTGCAGTCGGTGGTCACAGATGCCGAGCTCCCACGCATTGAGATCGAAGGTTTGACACTGCAGCGAAGTTCTCACCGAACAGCGCGATGCATGCGGAGCATCTCTCCGCTGGAACTAGACTAGCGATCACGAAATCCGTGGCTTCTGCGTGCTTCGTGAGAAGTGCCAAGTGCTAAACGCCAGCCAGCGCGGTCAGCCTTGCAAGCCATCTGCCTCCAGCTGGCGACGGCATGCTCTTGACATCTCAGGTCGGAACAAGTTCGAGAACGTCGCTTGCTCGCACTCTGTTGTGCCCATGTCGACTGTCTCTATATATCTCACGGGGCTGCCGTGGGCTGGACGCCACACAGCATCGCTTAAAACGGATGTATCTTACCCTGACCCAAATATCCTCAAAGAGTGTATTGCCCGTTCGTGGCTAGTTTCTGACACCCAAGACCAGTGTTGTGGGACTGGCACAACAGAGATGCGTTCATCATAACGCCCTCGCTGTGTAATTGCACGCAAGTCGCAGATTAAGATCGAGCTCACATATGCATTCTCGAAGTCTGAAGCTGAGAAGTGGATCTGGTGGCTTGCTGCAAGTCTCCCCGCATATTCACTTTGAGCTCAAAAAGCTGCTGCACAGACATCTACAGGGATCTGCTCTTGCCCAAGCTGGTGAAGATTTTCACATGACAGCACACGTTGCGCAATACGGACTGTCCGTTCCGCCAGGACGGGTAACGCGAGCCACGCGGGCCGTCACATACTCGAGATCCGCCACGCCAGCTAAGACACTACGTTCTAACAGTCCCAGCAATGACGGAAGCCACATGCATTCTAGGCGTTCGCGGGTACCAGATGATACACCGCGAAGCTCACTCTTCGCAGCTGGAAGAAGCCAATCGCTCGTATCCGAAGGACCATCTTCTGCACGTACGTAGCGATGGCGCTGGACGCACGGCTCCATGCAGCAATTGAGCTGCTTTGACTCGCCATGGCACATGTGCATTGCCAATGGCGGCACAACGATCGAACAATCGATGGCCTCGAGGCACTGCTACCTGCACCAGTGAACTCCAGCCACTCAGCCAGGGCAAGCCAGCACAGTCCAGTTCTTAAGAGACGTGGGACGCAGGCGAAGACGGCGACGCCGATGACCCCCATCATATATTCAGCCGCCTCCCCGAAGTTGTAGCCATTTCAGTTTCTTCATTAGTCTATGCCAGCGACGAGTTCCACGAGAAAAGTCTGGCACAAGATAAAACGCAAATTGTGCTGTTGTTGTTGCAGCGATTCTGATCCCTCCGGAGTATCACCACATCCTGTACATCCTGTACAAATTGCTCAAAATACTTCTGCTGTACCAAAACCTCGAAACCAGGATCCTGACGTCCAGGCGCCGACTGCAGAAAAACTCATCAAGACGCCCTCTGCACCAAAACCCACACCCGCAAACATGCAGCGTTCAGTCAGCGGAGCTGCTCCATCTACGCCCCAGAAAGCTCCTTTGGCAGCGGGCACAAACGGCACGAATGGATACTTTTCGCCCCCTCCACCAAGCTCGCCTTCCATTCGTTTCGGCGGATCAAACCGAGGTAGCACCAGAATAGCTTCCAGCTACTCTGTGTTCCGCAGCTCCACAGGCGGGCAACAAAAGTCCTCAATCGTCAAAGATACAGCATACACTTTGAAGAGGAAAAGTGCGTCTGAGCTTGGCGCTGGAATCAGCGCAACGGCCGACAATGTCTCTTTCATTCATCTGGTTGAGTGGATTCGTTCGGAGAGATTGCAGACTTTGCCGCATAAGGGCTCCCGATGGGATACGGTGTTGATTCGTGCTCTGTATTTTGCTGAGCGTCTTCATGGGTTCGAGACGCAGCTCAAGGCGCATGCTTCGGAGACGGAGCATGCGGCGCATCTTGGGTATGGCCACATCAAGCTTCTTTTGGAGGTGAGTGAGAAAGCAAATGTCCCATGATTTCCTGTGCTAATCAGAGACAGCTGGGCCACTCCAACAGCGTTGCATTGGATTCTGCTTTTGGATTCATGTACAGGTGTTCTTCCGCGGTCTCGGCGCTTTTGGCTCGCTCTGAGGTTCTCAAGTTGTCCAGCGAGGTGTACCAGCAACTTTGTCTTATGTACACGGACCTGCTCACACTGGTGGTCGATGTGGCTGTCCGCTTCTACCGCACTGTTCACGGCAGCGAAGGCCAGTCTGCCAGCTTGGACATGTACGAAGTCTTTGGCGAGACCATCACCACGTTCCGTGAACGTCGCGAATCCATCACCAGAGCGATCTGGAAAAACCAGATCGAGGTACATGGTTCCGAGGACAGCGTGGATGTAGACGTGCTCAGCCGCTGGCTCGCGCCCCAAGACCGCGTCCTTGCCACATTAGCTCAGGACCACACCCTCATTGCCAATGATTTGGCAGAATTCACTGGAATCTGGTTCTTGGACGATCTCTCGAACTTTGTCAAAAGCCAGGATTCCTCGTTGCTCGTCAATGGCCCAGCTGGCTCCGGCAAAACAACACTCGCAGCAGCGCTTGCAGAACGCCTGCAGCGACCAATCGCCAGGAAACCCTACACGACTGCATTCTGCTCTGTCGGAGCTGTCCCATCGCAGGCCACCAGTCTCAGCGTGGTCAAGGCCCTGCTGCATCAGATCTACAATCTTCGTGTTGGCAATGTTCGCCTGTATTCAGCTGTGGTTGCAGCACACGAAAGAGCTCGCTATACAGCAGAGCCCACCAAATACGAGGACTTGCTATGGGACGCTCTCGAGGAAGTCCTTCGCAGCCCGCTCCAAAATGCACCTGACTTGGTACTCATTGTGGAAGGCATCGATGAGATCTTGGGTGGTCAGTCCGCTGGTCAAAATCTCCTGCAGCGCCTTGTGCACGCAGTCGAGCAAGCAAAGGGCGTCAAGCTCATCGCAATGGCCCAGAACCTCAAGCTTCCAACAGGAGCTCGCGGCACCAGTCGTGGAATCACTGAGACCGACACCAAAGGCGACATTCACGAAGTTGTGATCAAGACCTTGATCAAGTCTCAGCACTTCCGAGCTAAGACTGGCCGAGAGCAAGAGTCGCTTGCCGAACACATCATCAGCATTTCTGATGGTAACTTCTTGTGGGCAGAGCTCGTCTCCGAAGTCCTCCGCCTGGAGAAGACACCAGAACAACTTGACAGCACGGCCAAGGAGCTGAGCAAGACCAAGCACACTGTCGAGAGGCTCACTGCCACTCTCCTCGAGCGCTTGCAGCCAACCGAAGATGCTAAGCTGTTGTTGTCATGGCTTGTAAACGCCGCTCGCCCATTGACTTGGGATGAGATCGACAGCTTGTTCTCGATCAACCCGCAGACTATTGGCAGATCCGACAGAAGCCACAATGTCCACAACATAGTGTCATCGTTGGCACCTCTGCTGGATGTGCAAGAGGATATCGTCCGACCACGACATGCTTCCGTACAGACTGCCTGCCGCACTCTACTGAGTTCTGGTAGCCTGAAAATTCCAGTTAAAGAGCCACAGCAGGACTTCCTGCTTCGTGTGCTCACGTACGCCAAACTGGCATTGACCGAGAAGGGAGAGCCAACTCTGGATGATACTGATCGATCTGTCGTTGATCAGAGCTTCAGTCGTCATCCGTTCCTGGAGTATGTCATCCGCTACTACCCATGGCATCTTCAGCAAGCCGGAATCATCACCACGGGCAGCACCGCCGAGCCCAAGATCAGCCCAGAGCTGCAGAAGGCTTTCCCAGAGAGCACGACCATGGCTGTCCTTGAGTGGCTATGCTGGGATGATCAGTTCCCAGGCGCGCAAGAAGTCGAAGTGCACGACACCGTCCGCCGCGTGAGAATCAAGATCTTCACCGAGAAGCACCCAGCTGTTCTCCAGAGCTATATCAATACCGCTTGCTACTGGGAAGCTTTGGAAGATTGGGAGAAGGCAGCGAACCTTTACTACCCAGTCAGTTCAGTCGGTCGCTCGATCCTGAGTGTGTCGCACCCAATTGTTGTTGAGTGTGCTGTCAGGTACATCCGGATCACAGATTCGTACACCTCGACGACTAGGACGGAGATCATTACCCGCAGAGAGCAGACCTTCATTCTGCTCATCTCAGCATACGAGCGTCAATTTGGCATGCACTCTGAGGTCGTCATCAGAACTCGTGAACGTCTCGCGGAGCTCTACATCGCCATCAGCGAGGAGGAGCATGCTCGAGAGATCCTCCAGATTATCCACGGACACACTACCGATGGCAACGGCGTCACCGGCGGGGTCTCTCGCGGCGTCGATGAAAGATTCGTTGTCAAGTTCGGCAAGCAAAAGCATGGCAAAGAGCTCGACGAATATGAAGGTGGAATCTTCATTGATGAGGATAAGGAAGAGGATGCTCTCGTCATCATTGATGTCGGCCAGGCAGATGTCATTCTTCGCGAGATTGAGGAGTACATCAAGCGTCAAGAGCTCGTCCGCGCGGAGCAGACTTACGTCGAGCTGTGGCAGCGTCTGTCGGAGACATGCAGGACCTCGCTATCTGTCGAGTGGCACGAGAAGAAGATCCAAGTGGTGCAGGCTTACTCGCAGTACTTGCACAAACAAAAGCGGACCATGGAAGCAAAGAGCTTGACGACCTCGATCTGGAGAGAATACGAGCACCACGAGCTGTCCTACTCGGAGAAGATTGTGACTAGATTGACTGAATCCGCTCGTTTCTTGAAGAGCGTGGGCGAGTACTCCGCTGCGTTGTCGATCTACAAGCATGCGTCGTACCACTACAAGAATGTCCGCAAGGAAGAGTCTCGCTCGTTCACTGAGATCGAGGAAGAGATGACTGTTATCAGCACCCAAGCTCTGACACAGGCCACCAAGGACTCCAGCAGCACTTCGTCCACGTCCAGCCATGAGCAATATGAGATGTTCCATCTGCTCATCAGCAACAAGAGCAAAAGTGTTGAGTCCTCGAGTCTCACGTTGGCAAAGACTTTGACGGCACGATACGTTGAAGAGAAGAAGTATTCTCAAGCTGTCTCGGTCATTCAATCTACGCTTGAGCGAACTTGGAGCTCTTTCATGTCCAGATCTGTCCACGAGGTAACGATTGCTTCTTCGTTCCACAAGGAGTCGATCGAGCTTGTCGAGAGACTTGCAGAAGTCTACATTCTGCAGCGCCAGTTCGAGAAGGCCGAGGATGTCTATGTGAGACTCTATCGAGCATCCCTCACGAACACTAAGGACACGACCTTGCTGGAGAAGGCGAAGAGCTTGATCATTGGTTTCTACCAGAGACGCGGCCATCCAAGCAAGATCATCGCTGTGTACCAAGAGCTGCTCGCGGTCTACCGCCGTACGCTGGGCCCGAGCCACGAGACTACGATCACGATCTTGTACGAGCTGGGATCGCGATGCAGAGCTCATGCACGTAGCCACCCATACTGGTTGGAGTACTACCAGCAAATTGTTGTGAGTCTGAACAAGGATTCCACCACGGTACACGTCCGCGCAATGGATGCTGCCATCATTGTTGCCGAGTCGTACTGGGAGGAGCGCAGATACAGCGATGCTGTCGCTGCTTATGCGATCATCTGGACCACTTTCGTGCAGAAGCACAAGGAGTTCAAGTCGTTCTCTGAGACCAAGTTCGTCTCGACTCTGTACGAGCGCTACTACCAGAGCCTGGAAGAGACCAAAGCCGACTACGAGGTTCTTCTCCAGGTGACAAGCCAGTACCGAGAGACCACCAAGACCGTGTTTGGCGCAACATCGACCATTGCGATCGAGGCCACTGTTGCGCTGGCACGCGTCACGCAGCAGAGCGAGTCTCGCATTGAGGAGTCCATTGCTCTCTACGAAGAGGCCTCCAGGAGCGCGTCGAAGTCGGAATCATCTTCGTCTTCCAGCCACTTCGAGTTGTCAGAACTTCGCTCAAGCCTGACAACGCTGTACAAGAAGCGCATCTTCCACTCCTCGTCCTCTTCCGCCAGTTCCGAGACTATCGCCAAGGCCGTCTCTATCTATGAGGAGCAGTTCTCCGAGAAGAAGAGCAAGTACACCTATTCGCACGAAGAGACGCTGAGCAGCCTGCGCGAGCTCTCCTTGCTCTACGTCAAACAGAGCAAGACCGAGGTTGCAGTGAAGGAACTCAACACCGCAGTCATCACCATTGCCCAGAAGGAGACTTCCTCGGAGAGGATGTACGAGTCTGCGATGTCGCTTGTGCAGACATACCAGGCAGCCAACTTGGTCCAGCAGTGCACTCAGACCGTTGAGGAGCTGCACTACCAATTGGTCGTTCGCGAGAAGAGATCTAGCTCTAGCTGGAGCGTTGTTGAGGCAAGCCATGCTTCTCTCTTCTTCCTCGCTGTTTTGGAGTACCAGCTGCGAAAGGATCTCAAGATCACGCTATCCGAGATCATGGCCAGCTTGACTGCGGAAGCCTTCATGTACGGCAACTTCAAGCAGCTGGTGAAAAGCAAAGCAGCACTCGATAAGCTGCTCCTTGCTGCAGCTCCACTCCGACATCTGCTGCGCTTCGCCAGCCGCTCTGGTCTCATTGCTTCTGTTGACCAACAGTGCGTCGACATATTCGTTCAGCGAGAGGCATCCAGTGTGCAGCTTCTGAGCAAGGACTCGCCACGCCACTTCATTGTGGGCATTCTGGAGCACATCTCGAACCGCAAGTGCACTGACTTCGTCCGTGCTGTCATCCTGGCCTCGAATGCCACTTTGAAGAAGCTGGTCGACAACAACCAATTCGCGGATGCGCACGACATCGCGAAGATGACCTTCATGTACGCTCAGCACCGCAAGGGTTACCGCGGATCAAAGGGCATCGCCAGAGGATTCGAGCTCGCATCGTATCTCGATGGACGTGGAGAGAACAAGTGCCCAGATCCAGAACTTCGCAAGAAGCTGCTGCAGCTGTCCAACAAGATCGTGAAAGACATCATTGTCATCTGCCGAGAGGACAAGATCAACTTTGCCCAAGTTCCATTGAAGGAGCTGAACGAGCTCATCGCTCTGTTGGGCGAACAGCAGGATTACGACACCCTAGAGGTAAGTAGCTACTTGCGCCTAGGACTCATCATGATACTGACCAAGACTGTAGATGCTCTTGACAGAACTTTGGACCACCCGCGAAGCACAAAAGAAGTGGGCTCCCGATGTCCTGCTCCTCCTCGGTCGCCGTCTCATCTGCGCTCGCTACCTCGCCGGCCGACAAATCAAGGCCCTCCGCCTCGCCGAAGACATCGCCTACAACCTCCGTCGCGTCAACGGCGTCCGAAACCCCGCCACCCTCGAAGCATATGGCCTGCTGGCTGAGCTGTACACCTCCATTGGTCAAAACTACCAGAAAGAGACGAGCGATAAGTCTTCTGCAGGCCTTGCCGCAGACCACTTCAGAAAAGCTATCATCGTACACGAGGATATCCTGCGCTGGTTGCAGTCTGATGCTACTAGTGGCGATGTCGATGGAGACGTTGATGACGATGACAGCGCTGCTCAGATTCTGGCAGAGCATGGCATCCATCACGATGGCACCGGAGATCATCAGGCCAATGCGGGCTCTGGCTTCAGTGCTTCGCAACGCGGCCAGCTCGTCAAGTGGCATATGCGTCTGTTGAAGCTCGCATATCAACGTCTTGGTAGCTGGCCCAGGGAGTACAAGGGATACGAGTCGCTGAACGCGCAGCTGTTCAGGACGTTTGGCGACTCACTCAAGGGTGTTGAAGGGGTCGAGAAGTGGTCGGCCAAGGGATATGGTTCCGGCAAGGCCGAGAGCAACGAGGGAGCCTTCCAGGGCAACCGTGAGTGGGAGATCATTTCTGCTTAGCTGATACGCGCCGTCGCGCCTTTCATATGTTGGGGTTCCGGTGGCGGGCTGAGCATTGATTAACGACTGTACGAATGAAAGCAACTCTTCCTTTCTGAGCATTTGCGTGAGACTCTTTTCCTTGTGTGGCGTTTTCGACGGCAGTGGGCTCAAAAGAGATGGAGTTGGAGGTCGAAACCTTGGGAAAGTTTGGAGACGCGACGCGTAAGATGTGGTCAGTCTCGGAAGGATCGGCACGCATTAACGTTGTCCCGACACTCGATCCCATCTCTTCTTTCCATGCCTTTGCCCTCCCTCTCACGAAGCAGAAAGTATTCAATCAGTGTGACGAGTCCCTACCATCGATGATTAGCACACTGCATATGAGCTATGAATCAGCAAGCGAGTGCTGCGATGCATTTGGAATCGTCTTCTTCAGTAGATCAATCGAGCGGCATTGGCTACAATGACATCATTCTACTTCTCTACGACTTTACGACTTCTCGACAACTATCGCTACCCATCTACGCCACCGAGTTGTGCCTCTGTTCGCACAGTACTCCACCTGTTGTAGAAGCTACCGGCTAGTTCTTCTCTCAGTCTCACAAAAGCCTCTCTCCTGAGGCCTCAATGTCAGGGAAACAGCTCCAGAGCTCAGCTACGAAGCTCACAGGTACACTGTGGAGCACCCATCGTCATGATCAACCAGACGCATGTCATTGCCTCGCACTCGCAATCCCGATAGCACGCAATCAGTGGTACCAACCACTCAGACCCGCAGCGGCATAAACATGTTCTGGCCAGTGATACATCCCGCAACCTGGCAGGATCACTGCAAGAGTTGGCAAAGGATGGATCGAACCAAACGAGGGACATGACGTTACTGATGGTGTGCTGTAGATATATACACAGTCCTTGACCCCAAGGTAAAGCAATTTGGTCATCAAGCAACACTACTACTACATACAAACCCATCAAACCAACAAATCAACCACAACTCAACATGTCTGGACTCCTCGACAAGGCCAAGAACGCAGTCAAGGGCGGTAGCTCCTCTGGCGGAAACGCCGGTGCTGGCGGCCAGCAGTCTGGCATCGAGAAGGGCATCAGCGGTGTCGGCCACACCCGTAAGTTCTTCATTTGTTACCAGTACAAACACAACCACTAACATCTCATCCAGAAATCGACAACGCAACCGACCGCGCAGGTCTCGGCGACAAGTACGACGACAAGATCAACAAATTCGCCGACGGCCAAATCAACAAGAACGTGCCAGGCGGTGCGACGAAGTAGATGAATACCCCAACGAATCTCACGAGATACGACATGACACAAACAGTAGCGATACCATATAACACCTCAATGCCAGAAGTCCATTGAGAATATCCAATTACATTACCCAAAATTACTTCCTCAAAATCTCAAAGCTCGCCCTTCTTCCTCGCCTCAACCCACAAAAACTTAACTCCATAATCCGGATCACTCGGATCCAACTTCCCATCCCCCGCCTCCAAAACTTCCAATTCAATTCTTCCAAACCCAGCATCCTCAACCATTTTCCTATTCCCCTCCGTATCAAAACTACTCCAAAACATCCCATGCCCCATCATCTCCCCATGAATTTCCTCCTCATCAACCGTCGCAGTATTAAACACCAACATCCCACCCGGTCTCAACCACGAGTGAATGTTCGCAAGCATAGTCTTCTGATCCTCTCGCGGGAGATGAAAAATCGCATAGAAGCATGTGATGCCGTCGAAACTTGCTGGCTCGAAAGCGAGTTCGGACATGTCTCCTGCGATGAATGTTGCGTCTGGGCAGCGTTCTTTTGCCATGAGGATTTGTTTGGCGGAGATGTCGTTTGCTATGACTTCGGCGCCGCGGTCTAGGAGCATTTTGGTTATGGGAACGCCGGGTCCGCAGCCGAGTTCGAGGATACGGGGTTTGGGGATGGATTTGGCATTTTGTAGGACTTTTTCTGTATAGCGTTGGCGTGGAGATGGGGTGCTGTTTGACCAGTCTAGGTACCATTCTGCGACGTGGTCGTAGGCTTCGGAGTTGATTGTTCTGGGGTTGTCCATCGTAGTTGTGAAGTTTTGTAGCCTGGTGTATCGATCGACAGCATTGGCTAATGTTCAATGAGACATGGAAACTCTCCAATATTATCTTGAGGTTTGCTTGCGTGAGTCACTGTACTGTACGACTTCAGGATTCCAGCGTTGTCTCAATGCGTCTGCTGACTGAGCTTTGCCGCTTCCTGTGTAATGTAGTGGGAGCACTGTTATCCCAACCAGGATTGCGGTGTCTGCTTCTGGAAGCGACGAGCTTCAGATGGCTTCTTCTGTTTGGCTGTACTTGTGCAGCGAGGCCGCTGAGACTGGATGCAAAGAAGAGCTTATTGACAGACAAGCTCTCAGCTTTCAACCCGTTCTCCACCACAGATGTGGAGACTCGGCTGCATGAATCCTTCGAGCATTCTGCACTCTCCTCGCTGCCGACCTCACTCGATTGCGACATCTTTCAGAGCTGTCTTTTCATTCTCAGTAGTTTCGAATGCTTCTCATCCGCTTGAGAAGAGGGGCAACGCCATTAAGGTGAATGCGGGGAACGAGGTGCTTGGTCATCGGTCGTGGCTCCGGTACGGAACTATGATTAGAACCTGCCGTGCTTGCCGGAGATTTTTGCTCGGTCGCGACAATTGAAGAATATGGTGAGCATGGGACATCAGGTTCGCCGCCGAGGTGTTCTCGTTGTTCGGAGTCTTCTTGGTTCCCATCTTCGGAGATGGTTGGAGATACGTCGAGCATCATCAGTGACGCGGATGATCGGGATCCTGCAGTGCTTCTTCTGTGAATGCTGTACCGAGACAGACGACGTCTTGGTTGTTCGACTTGAGGTGACAGTGCAAGTGGCGGTGTCTGAGCTCGTTGCATTTGGTCTTCTACCAGCGCTTGCTGGAATTCCGCACTTCGGTAATAGCGTCTCTCATCAGTGCCATGGTCGTGGACAAGAGGTTGCAAAGAGTGCCTGTCGATGGAGTTGCGATGCCGGCGCTCAGCTTGGCCGTTCCTGCCTGACAGGGAGCTGGACGATGAGTTGAATAAGCTGTACATGGCGGTGATGTGGCTGTGATGCTTAGGAAGGTGACTGCCAAACAAGGAAAATATGGGATACGGGATGTATTTGGAACTAAGGTCAGATGCTGCAGGAGGGGAAGCTGTATAGATGAAGCAGCGAGCGATGTAGTGTGAAGACTTGATCTACATATAGCACTAGGCGGTGAATTAGCAGTGAAGACGGCGGGTTCTCGGATTTTTGGTCGCGCTAGATTCTCGGAAGAGCACGTTCTCAAGACGTAAGCAGAGCGGGAGACTGTCGAAACCTGGTGACATTCGTGCACAACCCATGTGGCGAAGCCAATCGTCGTCTTACAGCGCTGCTGTGCTCTGCATGGTGTACGAATCTGGCGACGAGGCTGGTCGGTTTGAGTGGTCGGATGGGGATGCATGTACACGCGGAGTCTACACGCGGTAGCGGAGGCAGATCGATACCACCCCTTTCTGTTCAATATAAGATCAAAATTACTTCTGGGTCCTGCTCTCCTTAATTGCAAAGATTGCACCGTTCTGTAACGTTTGCACCTGGAGCATAAGTTGCGTGGCAATGTGCTTGGCTTTGATTACTGAAACTGTGCTCGAAACTTCTCCTCGCAAAAATGCCAGGGCGAGGGCGAGGCTTGGCTGCTGCGCCTGGTGTTTCCGGTGCATTGGCCAGTCCAGACACTTGTGGGTGGGAGGAGGTATAAGCTGACGTTCGCCATCGACGGCACGGCTGCAAGCTGTTCCATGTATTTGACATCTTGCTGATATTTCCTTACCATCCGGGCAAGCTGGACCGACGACCGTCGGATCATACGGCTCATGGCGTGACTGAACAATTCCGTGGCGCGTGAGAACTGGGTTCATTGAGGTCGTGTTAATTGTGCTTCGAGCCCACGATGATGAACACGAAAACGGGCACGCTTTGAAGCCATTCCAATGAAACACGAGATGGTTACGGCAGACGATGTTACGGAGACGCGTTCAGTAGTACGAAGACGAAGGCTCGCCAAGCACGATCTGCAGCGCCGATCGTCGGCCGACTGCCCACAGCCACAGTCCGCGCCTTTTGTCTCTCCCTCTACTCCTCAGCACGAATGTCTCTCTCTACCCGTTCGGGACTGCATGAATTGCAATTGGACATGAATGCCTGAACTCAATACAGGAGAGTATGGGTGACCGGCCTCGGGTCCCGCAACATCGGACGAAAGCAGCTTGACCCAGCAGTCACGACATGAAGGTAGCAGTGGCTACCACCGCGATGCAATGACAAACCAGGCCGTACTTGCAGACAGTTACATTTGCAATATGATCGTGTATGCGTTGCCGAGCTCTTCCTTTCACACCAACCCACATGATAAATCAAGTGGTCAAGGCCGGGAATATCCAGACCGTTTGCCGGACAGCATATTCTACTCCAAAGAAATGGAGGCCTCTTTGCTCATCAGCCTATCTGTGGTCAATAGTGCGCTGCGTACAGCTGTCTGCGACCAGCCGTTCTTAGAGCGATGAGTTTGATGTCAAGGCAAAAGCAAATGAGAAAACGATTCCTCTCTCCGAAATCATAAAGCGTACTCACCTCCTTCGGCTAGGCCCTGGTGTGATCTGCTCCCAAAAGATCGTTTGACACCAAACTTGCTGGCGCCTCGAGGCCTGCTGCCAAACATTACTGGCAATCCAACTTGGTTGGCACGATGCACGTGCAGGCGTTAACAGATTCGGCAGCAAACATGCTCGTACGACACTTCTCTTCATACATATTTCCGCCACCTTCAGCTGCCTGCATTTTCGCCGCGATAGCAGATGCGATTCAGCTCAAGAAAATATAACCAGGAGACGAGGCAGCAGCACAGTGCGAAGACTTGGACCCCAATTCCTATACACAACATCCATTGTTGAGAAAACTATACAACATGGCGTCTAGAATCTGCCCCTCTGCGAGCTCTGCGACGCATTCACTCAGAGAATTGCATGTGAAAGATGTAAAAATAGTCATGCCATCATATGCATCGGCCGACATATCCGATCATTCACCAGCTACAGATTCACCTTCCCTCAGCCTATGGTCTTCCACCAGCGGCTCAACTTCGCAGCACCACCAACATTTGACAACCACTGCAACTCCACACTCTGAAGCCAGTCGAAACCATGTCTACCTCGACAGTGCGTACTTGCTTCGTCTGCGAAGATGCGGAGGGCGGCGATCAGGTCACGGTGGTTCCTTGCCCTTGCGACTACCACCATATCTGTTTGGAGTGCCTTCGCAGTGGTATTCGAGCGATACTAGCTGACGAAAGCTGCCACCCCATACGCTGCGGCGGCAACGGCTGCTCGCCAATCACTATCGCTTTCTTACTACAGCACCTACTGGCTTCGACCGACCCTGACGACGCAATCTTGCATCAGCGCCTCGAGGCCAAACTCGAGGAATACAGCACTCCACGACCCGAACGAATATATTGCAACCACGAGTCCTGCCTCCGATTCTACGGTGTGTCACAATTCCTCAGTCCCAGACTATACACTCAAGACGATCGGATTATCTGCCCACACTGCAACAAGCCAACATGCAGACTCTGCAAACTTCACCTGATCGACCGCTCTCGGACTCACGTTTGCCTCACTCCTTCCACCGATCCAAATATCTCTGCCGACCTCGACTCCATACCACCAGAAGATCGCTGGTTGACTCGACAGTGTCTGGACTGCGGTGTCTGGATCACCAAGGAGTCCGCGTGCAACCATATGAGATGCACATGCGGGACAGAGTTCTGTCTGTGCTGCGGGCGGCGCTGGGGCGAGTTCTGGTATACCTGTCAGGTCGCTTGCCCAAAAAACGAAGCACCGGTATATGATGCCGATGGCTTCAATCAGAACGGCTATGATCCTGCTACAGGCCTCGATCGTGATGGAATACATTGGCTGGTGCATAACCCAATCATATCTGATCAATTCGAGGTTGAAGAGCAAATCTACGGTGCAGATGGGTTTGACGAAGATGGTGTCGATCGTGAGGGGTACGACAGAGAGGGCTTTGGTACGTCGGTCCATCGTGGTCGTTGCAATTTCATGCTGATAATCGAGTACAGACGATTTGGGCTTCAATCGCGAGGGAAGAGACAGAGAAGGTTATGACGCGGGAGGCTATGGTAAGTGCCTGTACGCTCGAGACTCGCCGACTGACTGCTAACCTGTTGCAAGACATCTATCTCTTCGATCGTGCCGGACGTGACAGATTTGGGATTCCTCGCAGCTGGTATCCTGACCACTACGACCAAGATGGACTCACATTTGATATCTTCGGCTGTAACCAAGAAGGCTACAACCGACAAGGAAGGGATGTAGCTGGACGGGATCGAGAAGGCTATGATATGGAAGGTTATAGTGAGGAATCTTCAAGCCCGCTGATAATCATGGTGCTAATAACAATCGTGTAGATCATGATGGCTTCGATCAGAGAGGCTACAATCGCAATGGCCTCAATCGCTACGGGTATTCCCGACACCATCGAGACCCCGACGGCAATATCGAGCCCGGTTTCCGTCTGGCACCAGATGGGAATGTTCAGCATGATCATCTCTGCATTGGTACGGGGTGCTGTGCCCGACCTCAAGTGCTGCAGCCCAATGGAATGGGCTGTGCAGCTTGCAGACTGATGTTTCGAGAGGGAGAACGCCGCCAGGGCTTCCACTGGGATGACGACTCAGTATGCGAAGCATGCACTATGGAGGGGGCCGGATATCTGTCTTCGCTGTCTGCGTGGGAGAGAGCCGGATTCCTAGGACTTGCAGAGATGATCGGGCGCTTGGAGCTGGGCGAAGACTACGAGATCGATGCAACACAGATTGAGCGGAGAGCCAATCACGGCTGGTGAACGCAATTTGACCAACATCTAACAACGCTCGGTCAGAATTGAATCGAGCCTTCCTTTGCATAAGCTCCTCATCATATTGTTTTTTTTTTCCCTTTCACAAAGTGCAAGCATGACTTGCTTGACGTCTACTCCAGGTTTCGGACATTAAATTGTGCTCCAGCAAAGCACCACGGGCCATGTGTGGATCTTGGCCAGCTCCGCAAAATGGAGCATTGCCATCGTGCCCTCGTACCCGCAATTCCGGCCATCGCTCTCGCATCGCAGTTACATCCTTCTCAACATGTGAACACAGTGACTTCGAAGGTCATCACCACTCACACGAGTTATCGATTCCAAGTTTCCAGTCAAGATCCGGCTCAAAACACCACACACGGATCGAGTCGCAGCCGCCTTCGCGCAAAGACATGATGAGGAAAGAATCGTTCATCTCCACGCCCCGTAATTCGGTTGCTGGATTGAAGA